ACATATAAAGAAGAAGTTGCATATAATAGATATTCTACACGCTACTTAAGCATAGACTCTCCATAACTAACATATTATTAGCTATTCCATACAATTTCACTATCGTACAAAACGATACGCAATGAATGAATGAATTTTGTTTTTATCAAAGGCTTGAAGATTCAATCGCTGTATAGTCAGATGTGCTTAGTCCGTGAAAATGCCTGGTCCTCTTTCCGTTTCCATTTTACCATTTTGCGCATATCGAACGTTCAGTATCAATCGTTTCGCGGTCTGACATATTGGCGAGATGAACGGAGTATAGGCCGTGGAAGGGCGATTCAAATGGAAGTGCAATGGTAGTGGTCGTACCGCATTTCCTTGCGATCGTGTCGTCGTTCCCGGTTAGTCGCTTTTCCCTTTTCCGTTCAATATGTTGCCGTTACTCACTTTCTCCGCGACGCCGTTCACTCTGGTCGAGTTCTGGACCGACAGCTTCGCATCATCGTTTTTGTTCGAGGATTAAGCGTTATTGTAAAAGTCCGAGAACAAGAAGTAGAAGAATATTGCATTCGGCAGAACAAAAAAGATCGACCATCTCGGGTATCCGCAGTCGTAGAACAATAATTGGAAGTTGTGTAGAAAGGCCAGGCAGAATTGACTCTATTAATCAGACAAAAATATATACGTTACAATCACAATTCATTTTATAAATACACTATAAATCAATAATGTTATATCTAATATAAAAATACATAACGAATCGACGAGATCGATTCGAAGTGGAATCGATTATTATGATATAAAGTAGAACATTAGTAAACACTAAAATTTAATAAAATATTATATTTTCATTAATTTAACCAAACATTGGTGCAAATTTATAGTAAAATTTACAGCTTTGGAAGAAAGAGCTTCACCGATGCTAGATATTAAATGCGTTTATTTGCTTTGTGTACCATTTGTAGAGTGGTGATGTACTTCTTCCACCAAAGGTATCGTTTATGTTGATGATGAGGTAGCAGCGCCGCCAGTAGATAATACGTGTACATGATGATGTGTACAAAACTGTTAATGATTCCTACAAACAAATACACACAATGACACATATGATCGTATGTCTAACACTATCACCGAAAAAAAATCAGATTATTATCGGATAACGTACCTATAAAAATACCGTGGCCTCCAGGATAATATTTTGTAGCGCCCCACGATATCATTGGCATCACGGTGTGATGGTACATATGAAGAAATGAAATTTGCTTTTCCTTCTTACGCAATACGAAGAACACCGTGTCAAGGAGCTCTGTGAGTTTCGCCAGAAAATACATGTAAACGCCTCTTGCGACCTATAATGAATATCGTACAAGAGGCGAATGAGGATACAATTGGCCTCCAAAAAATTCACATCTCTATTTATCGCGCTAAATTGCACTCGCGAAAAACTTAGTTGCGATATTATCGCATTCGCACTGTCTCGTATATTTTTATCACACTTGAATTTTATCGCACGCAAATGACGAGATACATGACAGAGATAAGTAAGCCTCAAAATTGTAAATGAAAAAAAAACAAAGTATCGGAAATAATATATTAGAAAATCATAAAAAAATTTATTAATGCGTTCAGAATGCGGCGTTTACGTACTCTCATAGCAAGCGGTGAGTACGAGAAATCAACCGGCTCGCATCTCCAGTTGTACTTGTGGAACCACACGCCTTCCACACCTTCCCAAAAGAGCCACGTGCTGAGAAGAACTTGCAGAAAGTTGTAAAGGACTAGAACATTATTTAATTTGTATGGCTTTCGATGTTCCATGTATCGCGGACCCCATGACAGAACGAAGAAAAGATAGCCGATTATAATACTGGCACCAGGTATAGGCGACGCTATGAGAAACCAATCTCTAGTCCGAGGATCTGAAAAGAATTTGTATACAATAAAGCAGCGGTTACAAATAAAGTAGCAAACTCGAAAGAATAAAATTATTAGATTTGCATTTTGCATTCTGCGACTTTGTCAACGCAACTTTTTTCTTTAAATAAATCTTTTGTATTATCCTTTTTTCGGATATATTTAATTTTATATAATTACCAGATAAATCGTGGAATATGTAATGCCAGAATCGCACCGCGGAGTTATTATAGATGTTCGACATCCTGTCGATCTGAGCTTCTGTGATGTTCATTGAGTCAACTGAAAACGATTAACTTTTTGTTACTTGCTGCTCTCCTCAGTTTTTTATCATAAATATTAATAATATATTATTATAAATATTGATTTTTCGTCGCAAGCTGATATCATTGAAACTATAATAACTATAATTACGGATCGTAATAAACACTTAAATATTCTCTTGCACGTTGCACGTTCTCTTGCAGAAAGATACAAACATGATAAAAATTTTTAAAAATATTTAAGTGTTATAATTCAAATATAAATAATTTAATTACATGTATGAATTGAGAGTGTTTTACTCGATTTCGTAATAAATATATGTATATTTTTTATTTTTATTAAATTTGTATTCTATTTTTGAAACAACCTTCATAAAAGACACATTAATGTAATTTATACGACAATAATTCTTGTTCTAAAGTTCATGCTTTTGTTTCCAGGATAAACATGATAAAAAGAAGCCTACGTATATACGAGGAAAATTTGTCATGTCGTATATAGAAAACTATCAAGTTTTATTATAAACGTCACGCAGCAATGGCGCTTTTATTCGCAAATAAAAGACCGAAGAGATTCGCGATCCATCATAAAAAAGATTTCTTACTTTTATATCGTCATTAAACTCGCGAGGCCCTAATTGGGTAGCGCAGCATTCTCTTGCACAAGATGCATGATTTACCGATTGCTGAAATCTGCATTCTTTCGATAAATCTGCGTACAAACCGGTCCGAATGTCTAGAATGATTCGATGTGGTTGCAATGACAAGAAAAAAAAAACAGCAAGACCCGCTTATTTTCACAGCTTCTAATGATAAGTTCCATCGCTACTTACTCAATGGCAATGTTACATATGTTGGTAAAGCACACGCGATTGTGAACGTTTGGTATGATAGACACCTGTTAAGCCTTTTTTCTTGTTTTTTTTTTTTGTTTTTTGTAATATCAAGAGCATAGTATAGAACAACAAATTGATTCAGCGGTAAATTGATACATTCCAGCGAGCCGATGACGGTTTCTTGGGTGGTTTTCAGTCCGATTTTATATTCAGTATTTCTTTTTGTCTTAAGCATGGTTTTAAATTTTGCGATTTTTAATTCAAACTTCAACTTTTTAATTCAAAATCGCGAATTTAAGACAAACATTTATTTATTTTGCAATTATAAATCTATGTAGCATTTTTAAAAATAAGAGACAATTTTAAATATAATATCGGACCATAAAAATTGACACAAATTGACTTCTACAATCTTTTTACTTTCTAAAAAAACACCTGTTGACTATTTTGCGCGTTTTGGTATCTTGGAATAATTTTTACAAGCAACTTCTGGGCATTTAAACTTTCGAGAGAAGCACTAAATGTTCTAAAAAAATTTATGATATCTTAAACTTTTTGGCAGAAGAAACAATAGATCTCTTAAAAAACAAAAGCACAAAATTTAACTTCTTTACTGACTTATTTAGCGTACATTAATATTTATGTATTTTGCACTACGATAACTTTATCCTTCAGAATTGAAACAAACAACTCCATAAGTCATTTGTATAAACGTACTTCTATGAAATCGTTATTACAGTGTAACAATTTAATAATACCGTTTCCTCACGATTCAATCTAATTTCCGTTACTGCCGACATACTTTCACACTTGTCCGACGCGCATCCGGCTCCTTTTGATTATTAGTGCCATTATCCGTCTCAGAAACAGCACAACCGCAACTGCTGCAAGCACGTTTCGACTTTCGACAACACTAGGGAACTTGAGTAGCAATGTTTGCCAGCGCGAACGGCGAATGATCGACTGCACGCTGGACTTTTCATTGAAGAGTGAGAGTAGAGACCGAAAAAGAGAAAATCCCGTCGTGATTGCTCGGTAGTAGCGGTATGATTCCACCACGCACGATTCCTCGTTGAAAAAAATGTCTGGGTACGAGGAAATCTCGGACGAATAAAGACGAATGGAGAGACTTCGTCTCAAATTTCCTTTTCGTTGGACTTGTTACTTTTTTCACGATCCAATCGTGAAATATGTCCTGTAAAGTGTAAAATCACCGACAGAAAACGGCTGATTTAGAATAAACAAGTAAAAAGTACCAAATAAATTGTTTCACTGATTGCGTAGTTTCCAAAAAAAATTAATTGTATATTCTGTTTTTCCACCTGTCTTCGAATTTGCATATTTAAAAATTCTAAATTAAAATCCTAAAGTCTTATAATTTATTGTTTTCCTCAAATGCATTACAGATAAAAAAGAAAAGATATTTGTTTACTAGATAGATAACTTTTCACAATTTTTTTATTTAAAAATTTTTTAAGCATTAAAATAATTAAATGTTCATAAATAACGAAGGAATATATTTTCCGTATCTTTCCGTTCAAGGGTGGATTATGTTGAATCATGAATATGAACTAATCGCAGTGACAGATGTGACGTGTGTTTCAGCATCAATCCGTGCTCATCGCATCCTCAATCTTGAGTACCGAGTGTTTTCTTCATCATTGCATCGTGTTTTGCAATGATTTTCTACTTATATTGTACTTGTTTATTAGCAGCGCAATTTTCATATGACCTTGTAAATCGCGTACCTTTACCTCTTGCGTCAAGCGTGGTAGGTTAACTACCGTATCGAAGATAGATCTCTTTACATACCGTTTATTACGAAAATTTAATGTACAATCGGCAATAAATAATTTTTGAAAGATAATTCGTGTCGTGATTCGTTTGATTCTATAATTGAAATATCGTTATTTTCAACTAAATCGAAATGATTATTTTGACTCATCGTAATGCTACGTTTTCGCGATAATGTGATTTTTTTCGTGATTGTGCCAGACATTATTGTTCAAGAATGGACGAATCATCGCTTACAAAAATTGTAAAATCACGCGAGCTTTCGCAAAGACGAATATTACGTCAATTGTATAATGGTTCTCGGGAAATCGGGGCCAATGCAACATCGTTAAAGTTACATAACGTTTTTCATTTTAGGACGTAGATAACCGGTTTCAATGCTATCGTCGGAGTATGTCCATCTAACATTCTCTAATGTCCAATAAAACTTATCTTTACTAACTCGGCAGTTTAAACTTCTTTTTATATATTTGTTTAATCCAATTTAATTTTTTTATCTCATACTTTACAATATTAATTACGAATTATGCATAAGTCTCGACTTTGTTGCAAGACTAAGTCTCTCGACTTAGTTGCAAAATTATTAAATAATGTTCTAAGATTACATCGAGTAAATAATAAGTACAAAAACTAAAATCTGATAACCAGTATATCCAGTATAACCAGTATATCATAATTATATAAAATATTTTCGTCGCAATTCAAATTATGGAAAAAAAATATTGCCTATACATAAAAGTTATCTTACATATTGTATTACGCTGTTTTTTTGCAGTATTGCGTTATAAATCTACGCGTAACATACATGTACTAACTAAATTAGACACACGCAGTTTCGCTTTTGTCACGTTTCACTGACCGTTACACGCCAAATTCTCTTCACATCATATTCCTTTCTAGAGTTTGGTTTTTAATTTAATCTAATTTTCGAAAAAAAGATTAAATAAATTATCAAACATATAACGGTAAACAAGCAATAAGAACTTTTAGATTTAATGCAATGCAATTTAAAAAAATGTCAAACTTTGAAAATCAGGAGCAAAAAAGTCAAGACAAAATGAATACATGCAAAATATATATTATATAAAAAATATAAAACACAAACTCTTCTGCCTCTATTAGGTCTTCTTCATAACAATTAGAAATTGTACGTAAAATTGAAAAATATGTTACGTTTCACACGCATTTTGTAACATAATTATTAGCATATTGAAAACCATAACACATTAATAATTTCAAATGATAGTAAAAATTAAGCCGCGCGCAATGTTGAAAGATCGCAAATAATCTTGAGAATTACAATTCCGCGAATATTAACAAATTGTTGAATGAGTAGTACCAAGACGGTATTGAACAGAGTAGTTATATAGAAAATAAAGAAGACAGCCAATCGTTTTGAAATAAAATTTAAATCGGAATTGTAATCGCGTGAGATTTGAAATTTAATAAATGATAGTTATATACATATGTACATGGTAAAATCAGGTTCGTAGTATCCTTACATGTTAATTATCAATGGAAGAGTGAAAGATTTTCAAAAACTATCTTGAGAAGCAAAGATATCGATAATAATGAGCGATGTGGAAGATTGAAAAGGGAGAACTTAAATATTAGGAGTGCGACTAGGAGGAGAGGAGAAAGAAAATTCGTTGGTACTTTGCCGCGGCGATTTATCCTTTTAACGTCAATTGCAACATTCATTCGCCATCTCCTTTTCGAGCATTCGTGTACGCGTGCTCAGCCGTCGCGTGCATCGCACGCGCGATTCTATCGCCTAGCAAGGGTCCGTAATGGTCTGACTACAGTTTCACCTACTATTGCGATACGTGTTTCCTTCGCTGTTTCACTTTTCCCGCTAATACTCGATTCAATTTGTCCTTGTCTCTCTTTCTCTTTTCTCTCGCTGCACCTCTTTACTTTATCTTTATATTATATTTAGACATAGCATTTGTCAGTTTTCACTTTGTTGCCAATTCTTTATGTATGATTTGAATACTGGAATATTACACGCGTGGTAATATCTCATTATATTATCACATATTACGTCTGTGCAATGACAAGCAAATTTGAATTGAAACGTTATGTTATGTTACGCTTCAATAATATTTGCGTTATTTATGCAAATAATCGTATTTTTTAATCAATCAACAAAGAGTAATTAATTCTTTTTAAAGAAATAAATAAATCTAAAATTATAATTGCAATCAAAAGTAATATATTTTCAGTCGTGTTTTTTAAATAAATTTGTTACATTAGAAGTAAATTTTAGTAATTTTTCTAAAACAAAAAAGAAAGAATGATAAAAGATCGTAAGATTTGTTCTATTCCTTTTCCGTTGTGCTCTTTCTGCAATGCTTAATTCGATATACATCTAACAGAAGCTTATTAG